TGTCACTTACTGCATAGCTAATAGCTTTCACAATTAGTTAAGGTATGTTGACTGGTAAGCACCGATGCGATTCCAGGAATCAGGCCAACCGAGTCATCAGCCTTCAGAACTTACGTGATAAGGGATAGAACTGAAAGATCCGAATATACAGGTGCGTCGGTCGATAGGCTAAGAAGCTCCTTGTAACTTTGCAGAACCCGATAGTTATTTAGGCCATAGGGCTCACTGGTATTGATTGCTCGGTATTGGCGCCCATCGATTACTCTCCTGAGGCCGGTCGGATCGTGTCCCCAAATTTGATTGGCCGTCATCGCGGCCAATGAGATTTCAGAGTGGTCGACATGCTGGTTGGTTATTCTCTGGCCTCTTGTCAGACGGAGTCTGTGCACTGCGAAAGTTTGACATCTCGGGGTTTAGTCGTGCTGCCTTGTTGCTATGAGGCTCAGCAACATAATCTTCTGTTGGTTCTCTACTCTTTCATGTTTATGCGTCGGAAATTGGACGAAGATAACTACCATATAATTCCGTAGGGGCGTGTAAAGCGGGGTAAGAGTGATAAAGTCATGTTGACCTAGGTAACGACATTTTTTATTTTTCCGTACTTTCTCACCCAAATATAATAGACAGAAAATTATGAGAATGGTTGATCCTCACTTCGCCTGTAGGGTTTGTCGAATTTCAGAGAAAGTCTGAAGATTCCCTTTCGTGAACTTTGTTCTGTGCTTGAATAATACTTATATATATTTGTACCTAGATCTTGTTTCGTAAGTTGGTCCCACCTTAAGCTTTAAGCTTGCCTCTAATGAAAGTTTTGTGACTTGAACAGATCAGGGACGCACGATCCTATCGGCCGCTTTTATCCGTTTTTTGTGGAGTTTTGCGACAGCTGGCTTGTTCATTAAAAAATAATAAGCTCAAAATAGCTTTTAAGATGTGCGGTATCCTTGTGTGATGGTCTCAGATACCACATGGTCATAAGGCAAGGATGGTCATTGGTATCAG